TATCCCTGGTGAAACACATCTGGACTGCTATGTCAAGTTCTGGGCTCCCCAGTACAAAAGGCACATGGTCATACTGGAGCAAGTCCTGCCCAAGGGCCACGAAGATCAAGGGATGGAGCACACATCAGGAGACAAGGGGCTGTGGTTTGTGACACGAAATGGCACCGCTGAGCATTCATGTTAGTGAAGTTCTGTGAGGTAAATCCACTGTCTATTTGAGCTCTGGTGCCCAGTAAGCTAATAATCAGCTTTGCTATCTGGCATTTTGTATATTTTCATTATTAACCCTTTATTGTATTCAACGGAAGATGGTCTAAAAGAGCCTTAAGCCAGCATTTTCCATCACAAGATAACAGTCTTAATCCGCAGTAAATATTTCAGAAGACTATTAGTAGCTCATAAATCCACAGTAAATACTTCAGAAGACTATTAGTAGCTCATACATTCCTCTCCTCCCCTTTTGCCTCGAACCTTCAGCTCCTAGGACATGTCTTAAAATAATCCTTTAGCAAAGGAAGGAAGACTGCATATTTTAGCTGGCAATCTCAGCTATCCACATAGGCATTTTGAACGCGCTGAAATTCACAGTACCCATGTTAAGTGGGAAACTTGCTCCTAGGTATCTTGAAGGTGCATTCATCCTTTGCAACCTGCTATGACACCACTACATCCAAAGCCCTCTGAGCCCTTAGATGCAAGATCTGCATCAAGCAGTCATTATCTGTGTGTACTCTCTGCCCTCTGAAATATAAGGTTAACCTTTAGTATCCTCTAGGTTAACCTCAGGCTGAATCAGTTAGGTAAAATGTGTTATACAGTAGTTGCAAAGTCAACAAAAACTGCGTTACGTTATCCAGATCTACAGCTTATTATGTGGGACAAAAAAGACAGCTTGAGCTGTATAAAATGGAAAGTGTCGTAGACAGTGTGAAACACTTAAAAAGTCCTGTCTTTAACAGTAATGAGCATATATTGTTTCTACAGCACTACAGCTGTAGATGGTTTACTTCACAATCTGATACGGAAAAAAGATTCCTAACATCTGCTTGGAATGCTCAGCTGAAAGTTTCAGCTCCAAATTACACATTTAGAGTAACATAGGCCTGTCTGGCAACAAACAGACTGAATATTATTTCCCTTCTTGTCTCTGTGTAAAGAAAGGGAAGAACATAAAGCACATTTGAGGAAAGAAATAATCCAATTTTAAACACTAACATTATTTTATATGACAAGCCAAGAAATATGAATGGGTTAGAGCCAGTCTTTTTCAATAATCTGCTCAAGAATAGGAAAGAAAGAGTGGGGTGGTGGGGATGGAAGCTGGGGAAAACTAAGTTCATCACATTCATGAAAGCATCAAAACAGTTGTGCAGTGCTGTCTCACTCTATGGAAAAGTTTTTGTGTGTGGAAGACAGTTTCTTCAGTCTGCTCTGAAGTCTACAAAAGCTAATCGAAACCCCTCTCAAAGACCAGAGCATACACTACTACTTCAGTCATCATAGCTGTACTTTATTTGTGAACTTCCTTCCCCAAGCACATTCTTGATATCTTCAATACATATTGCTACCACAAGGTTTCTGATAACCTATGTTAGATGGTAAAAATAATTTCTCCCTCTTTGCATTTTTTGAGTGTTTACTATAGGGAGAGTTGGAAATACAGCTACTAAGACTGTCTGACTTGAGGTGGCTTTTAAAGTTGGCAAATATTCATTAGCAAAGACTGAAAACTTTTATTCCAGATACACATTTCAGGGCAGATGGTAAAAAGAAGGATGGGAAATTACAGGTGAAATATTTCTCATATGCATTTTTATTCTTTAAGAAAGAGAATCTTTAGATGAGAAATACTTTCCTCAGTTTCAGGACTGCATTGTGGAAGAACTCTGCCATCATGGAACTTTAGAAAAGGAAGCAAAAGTTTGGCATGGGGTATTACGTAAATGTGTCCTTTGCCAATTCAGTGAAAACTCCTGAGCTTGGAATCCACCCAGATGTATCCGAACCAAAGGTATTGGGATAGAGGGTGAAAATTACAATGGGTACATGAGGAGTCCTGTACTTAAAAGCTGTCACGCTATGTTTATCTCAAACAGTGCAGTCTACTGTGCCTACAGAGCAAAACAGTGCCCAAGGCTTGGGATATTTGAGAAATAGACCCTTTGAATGTCTCTAGGCCTGTCTAATTGACTAAACACCCTGTTAGAGACCAAAGCACACCTGGTTTAACCTCTTCTGAAAGGATGCCAGTCCACATGCTCTGTTCCCATGATTAGAATGAAAACATGGTAAAAGGACAATTCACTCTGAGGGCACAATCCTCAGCCTAACTAAAACACTAATGGAGAAGCACTCCAGGTACGTGTATTAGGTTTGCGTGGCAGGCAGGCTACAGGGGTGGCTCCTGTGAGAAGCTGCGGGAAGCTTCCCCTATGTCTGACAAAGCCAATGCCAGCTGGCTCCAAGATGGACCCATTGCTGGCTAAGGGTGAGCCCATCAATGACGGTGGTAGTGCATCTAGGATAACATATTCAAGAAGGGGAAAAAGTTGCTGCATAGCAGCAATTGCAGATGAAGAGAAGAGTGAGAACATGTGAGAGAAACAACCCTGCAGAAACCAAGGTCAGTGAAGAAGGATGGGGAGGAGGTGCTCCAGGTGCCAGAGCAGATTCCCTTGTGAAGACCATGGTGAGGCAGGCTGCCCCCTGCAGCCCATGGAGGTTAACAGTGGAGCAGGTATCGACCTGTAGCCCATGGAGAACGCCATGCCAGAGCAGGTAGATACACTTGAAGAAGGCTGTGAGCCTGTGGGAAGCCCACGCTGCAGTAGGCTCCTGGCAGGACCTGTGGAGATGGGAGCCCACGCTGGAGCAGGTTTGTTGGCAGGACTTGTAAGCCTGTGGGGGAACCCATGCTAGAGCAGTTCATGAAGAACTGCAGCCCGTGGGAAGGACTCGCGTTGGAAAATTTTGTGGAGGACTGTCTCCTGTGGGAGGGACTGCACACTGGAGCAGGGGAGGAGTGTGAGGAGTCCTCCACCTGAGGAGGAAAGAGGGGCATGTGATGAACTGATCACAACGCCTGTTCCCTGACCCCCTGTGCCACTGGGGGGGCAAGAAGTAGAGCAAATCAGGAGTAAAGTTAAGCCCAAGAAGAAAGGAGGGGTGCGGGGTTAAGATTTGGTTTTATTTCTCATTATCTTACTGTCATGGGTTAACCCCAGCTGGCAACTGAGCACCACACAGCTGCTTGGTCACTCCTCCCCACTCCCAGTGGGATGAGGAGAAGAATCAGAAAAAAAAAAAAAAAAAAAAAAAAAAAGTAAACCACACGGTTGACATAAGAACAGTTTAATAATTGAAATAAAATATAATAATAATGAAAGGGAAAATAACAAAAAGATAAATAAAACCCAAGAAAAAACAAGTGATGCACAATGCCATTACTCACCACCCACTGACCTGTTCCCAGCCAGTCCCCAAGCAGGGATTGGCCCCTCCTAGCCAACTCCTCCATTTATATACTGAGCATGCCATCATATAGTATGGAATATGCTCCCTCCCAGCTTCTTGTGCAGCTCCTTGCTGGCAGAGCAGGGGAAACTGAAAAGTCCTTGCCTTAGGATAGGCACTACTTAGCAACAACTAAAACATCAATGTGCTATCAACAGTATTCTCATACTAAATCCAAGAGACAGCACTCTACCAGCTACTAGGAAATAAAAGTTAACTCTGTCCCAGCTGGAACCAGGACACCTACTCTGATTTGATTGCTAATAAATTAATTTTTCCCCAAGTCGAGTCTATTTTGCCCACGACAGTAATAGGCGAATGATCCTTCCCTGTCCTTATCTTGACACACAAGCCGTTCATTCTCTCCCTTGTCCAGCTTAAGAGCAGCTTTGACAGGCACCTGGTGTCCAGCCAGATCAACCCATCACAGTATGCTTTAATCAAGAGCCTGAAGATGTGGACAAGGTCATTCTCTATGCTTGTTCCTCCTACTCACCCGTAGCACTCCACCACCAGATATTGTTAATAAAAGCGAAGAGAGTATCTTTCTGGGACTTTTCTTTGTCTTTAACATCCTGAAAAAGACTATCAAGGAGACTCAGTGATTTAAGCCACCTTACAGAGCTGATAGGACTCTTCCATTTTACAGAAAAAAAATTAATTGATAGACTGTTGAATTAATAAAACTTACATCTACTGAAACTACCACAATATTTTCTTTAGAACTTACAATAGAAGGACTACGGTTTTGAAATGTAGACTTCGCTTTCCATTCAAACAGAAAAGGACAGTGCTACAATACGATGCGTATTTTCTCACACACCAGGGCTTTTAGTGACAGCAGTGGGTGAAGAGGAGCATACCCAACAAACATAAGAGGGACAGCTGATAAATGGTTCTAGTCCTAAGAAAATACATGGTAGACAACTGAACCAAATGCGAAGGCAATGGGCTGAAGACTATGCACAGGAATAAGTAAGAGGAATACCAGACACTTGACAGAAATACTGAGCTCTAGTCCTTGTTCCACACCAAGAGGCAGTAAAAAAGCATACTTAGAAACTGGGCCGTTAAGCACATAAAGTGAATGGTTTGCACTCACAATGTGACTGCTGACGCCCACGTGGCCCAAGTACCACTTATGGAAGGTAACTCTTCTCTTTCCCATCCTCCCCATAACTCCAGAGACATCCTCAAGCTACCAAGCAGAAGGGAAAAAAGAGGAAGAGACAGTAATAGAAGAAACAAGGAATTTGAAACATGGGTTAAAGTGGAGGGCCTTTTACATTTTTTGAAATCAGCCATGTTTGCGCAAAGTCTACACTACTGGAAGTGATCATTTAACACAACGGGAAAAGCAGGAGCTCCTGCCTTTCCTCCAGGTTCATAGTTTGACAAATTAACTTTCCCATCTCCAATAATGGAATGAGAATCTTAAGGACAGTGAAGTACTGCTGCTCACAACAAATGACAAGGAACTCTGGAAGTTACTTCTTGATGCATTTAATTTCTTTTGTGATGTTCCAAGAACTAAGGTATTACAAAGTGCGAGGTACGCATAGTAACAGGACTAACAGGACTCCAGTTGGATCAAGTAAAAATGGGTTACAAAATATTAGGAAAAGCAGTAACGAAAAATACAAACGATCTTATCCAGTCACATATCAGCTGCAAATCCAAATTCTGAAACCCTTGAAAATCAGTCCCAGGAAAGGTTCACGGCTGCTCTTTCAAAAGAAGGACATTCCAGTTCTAGGAGACTAAAAGTAGAGGAACCTCCCATGCCAACTCTCTACTTGGTCTTTGTTGCCTGAAAGGTAAATTGCACCCTTGATGCATGAACAGAGGTGACCTGGGTAATAACATTGTTTTCTTAGGACTTGTCGCTGGGAGGTTTCTTCTTAGCTTCCACATCCTTCTTAAAATCTTCAAGCTTCTTTGCAATGTTAGGAATCTTTAAAGACACAACAACAACAACAAAAAAAACAAAAATGACACAAATTAACAAAAAATCCCGAGCTACATGAGCCTCAGCCAGAAAGACAATAACGTAAACACAGCAAGAAATTCTATGAAGTTTAAACTGGTTTCTAAAAGATACTTGCTTCTGGGATTTGTTACCTTACACAGCGGCTAAAAACAAAGCAACATCATAAAACAGTTTGGGTTTGAAGGCCATCTAGTCCAACCCCCCCGCAGTGAGCAGGGACATCTTTAGCCAGATGAGGTTGCTCAGAGCCCAGTCCAACCTGGCCGTGAATGTTTCCAGGGATGAGGCATCTACCACCTTTACAGAATCACAGAACAGTTCGGGTTTGAAGGGACCTTTAAAGGTCATCTAGTCCACCTCCCCTGTAAACAGCAGCTAAAAGCACCTCACATGAGGATCCGGAAAATATTTTAGATTGTTAAGACTAAAAGTCAGCCAGTGGTGATGGGAACAGGAGGGAGGAAAAAAGATCATTTCACGGGAAATTTAGTAAGACCAGTTTGGCTTCCTCACTGAAAGAGGACAAACTGCCAGGACTAAGCCAATTTAAGCACTGATGCACAGACTTTAATAATGAATTTTGGAGGAGAAATTAAGATCGCACTATACTGGTCACAAACCAAGAGAAAAAGAGATGTTTAAGAGCAGCAAATATGTTCTCAAGAAATTTATGAAGAAATACTTTTCCTGGTCCATTTTGTGAGAACCAATATTCCCCACTGGGGAATTCTACTGCATTCAAATTGGCAACCTTTTGCAGTTTATACTTGAACGAAAATTCAATTTACTGCTTGCAAACCTCAAAACTTCACCTTTTTCTTGCAAATAAAGGCATTTTGATAAAGCAATCCAACAGTAAATTTTGACAACTTAGACACAAAAAAAACCCAACAAAAAAACAGAACAGCAACTTTAAAAGGGAAGGAATAGATTATCACATGACTAGCTAAAACTGGGAATTGGCAACATAGAATTTTACAAGCTAACTGATTAAAACGAACGTAAAGCAAAGGTCCCACTGGCAGTCGTGAAAAAAATCATGGCCTTTTGCTTCATACACAACCTGAGCACAGAGCAGAAGGAAAGTTAATCCAAGCAGATTGCAGTTCTCTCATTGGATGGTTTGTGGCCGATAGTACAGGTAATATCGTAAGTTTCTCTTACCTTCCCTTTCAAAGTTAAACTCTGTTTGAGCAAATGAAATTAAGAACCCAGCCTGTAACACGCCTGACTTTTACCTAAACCAAGAGAACTCCACTGCTGTCAGCAGAACCCTCGACATGCTTATAACTAAGCATATGTGTGTACAGCTGCAGAATTAGGACCTCGTTATGACAAGTCTATCTTAGATGTCATCTAAAACAAATCATCTTTGATACTGGCCACAAAATTACAATGTTCATCCTGCAAGTCAGTGTTACATTCCCAGGAAACCATGTCCTGCAAATCAAAAGCATCAAGACCCCCTCTTGTGGCAATACTCTACTAGTGCTGCCAGAAAAGCAGCATACCATGCTTAGGATACATATTGATACACCCAAATATTTTCTTATGACTACATTTTCTTATCAATGAAAAATATATATTGGAAAGAAAAAACAGCCTATTTATTAGTACTCTTACTGGAGTGACTATATGTTAAATTTCATTAACTCTTCTAGCCTGTAAACAGCTAAGTGGCATTGCTCTTGAATCTGCAGAAATGAAAAGCTTGTATTGAAGATTCAGCTCTAAATCTTATCCTACTCTCTCACAGTGAAAAATCTCTGTTCACCATGAGAACTGAGGAAAGAAAGTTCACTTTCTTCCTTTTCGCACAGTGAGAAAAGAAGGAAAGAAAGATTGCAGGTCAATATACTGTTTGAAGCAGGAACAGGTGCTGAATTTTCCAGAAAAGCTAGCAAAACTTATTTTCATTATTGGTATAGAAGACAGATATTTCAGATGCTCTGAAGGATTTTTAAGTAACAAACAGGTGTACTGAGTCAGAAAACCAGGATTTTAGTGCCAGTACAATCCATGAGCAGCTGCTAAACCTTTTCTGTTTCTGCTGTTTCTATCTATGTAGATGCCTGTTTACCATACCTGTGCTCTAGGGCCCCAACACCAGATAGGGCTCTAAGCATTACTCTACCACAGAGAAGATGTCAAAGAGGCAGATGTTTTGGTTCCATTTACATTTGAGTTCCAGTTCATCTGTAACTAAAGTCAGTATGATCTGCATTCTGCTTAAATAAAATAAGACATCAAAATAAAGACTGATTTGGTTCTGACTGAGGTGAAAACAGTCTTATATTTTCAGTTCAGAATAGGTTTAACTCTGAGAATACAAGGATACTCACATCATAGTTCTGAGCAAGATACATCCCAACCACATTGCCAAGAGTAAAACCAAGCTAAAAAGGAAGAAAGAGAGAAAAGAGTAGTTAACATCCTTCCATCAAAAACATATTGGTTAAAATAAAATAAACCAAAACAAAACAAAATGAACATTACAAGTCATGTGAAGACTAGAGTTTCAATTCCACTCCCACTTAATTACTCGCCTTTCTTCCAGAGAGGTGCAATTTTACCCATCTTCCTCATCAGGAAAACCTTACCATCATTTCCAAAACAGAGAGCAGTTGTGTTTTCAATAGACATCTCCAAGACTACTTGGGTATTTGGATCAGGCTATGATCATCTTTGTAAAATTCTTTGCACACCCACAAAAGCAGTAACTCCTGCAAAAATTGGGGAGATAGCAGCAGGGACCTATGTATCACAAAGCTCTTGGTCCATGCCTGGAAAGCCTAAAGCAACATTCCACTAAAACGCTGCTCAGTGCTGAAGAGGGATACACATCTACAAAGACATAACCCAGTAAAAAAAAAAGGTTCACAAGCTTGAAAGTCAGAACAGAGGCTCTGACTCCAAAAAGATCCCAGTCTCACCTTAAAAGGTTTAAGAGTAGAACTTCTCCATCAACTTAAATTGATGTAAATCTGCTACTTCTCTTCCGCAACCACTAACACCTTTCAGACTCCTTTGACCCCAAAAGATTAGTTTTCAGCCAAATCCACTCTGATCTAGGGGCTCCTCTAAGGCAAGAAAGCACTGTTGGTTGGAAGCAGGGCACAACCTCTTTTGACAACTGTGCAAACTTGTAGTTGCTGAAGGGTGTCTGTGAAAATGCACCCTGGAAGGAGAGCGACAGCAAATCACAAGCACAGACCCTGGCCCAGGCCCTGTTTGCCAGCTGAGGAAAATCCTCGAGCATAACAACACTTCTGAAGTGAAAGAAATCCTCTCTTCAAGGAAAGGTGATGAGATTTTCATTCAGCAACTCCCCAAGATCCTAGATTTTATTTTTATTGTTACATTTCATAATAAGTACTTCTTATACTATGAAAGTTCATTTGACTGTTTTGGAAGGGGACACTAGTAATACTGTGCCTTCATTCATTGTCAATAGACAAATCACTCTATATGACAGTAGAGGCCAGTTCTATTTAAGAAAATTGTTATTGCTTATGGTCACTGCTGTCAAAATAAGAATATTTTAAGAAAAATAAAACCACTGTCCACAATAAGAACTTTGTCATCACATACTGACTAGACTTTTCCATGCCCAAAGCAGGATATGGTACAGCTCATCTTTTCAGTGATTCAGACTCCATAAGCATCACTGGTGAAAAGCTAGCTGTAGAAAACTAAAATTCGTTGAAAACTGCCAAATGAATGATGACTGCAAGTTACTTCAGTATTTTCTTAAATAGATTTTTGGTCTTACTCTTTATTTATTATTACTTTTTAGGGAGCTTAGCTTTAACAATTTCAGAAACAGTAAAGTTCTTTTTGTGCATACTGCACTGGTCATCAGTCACTGCTCTTGTAGTTTCAATTATCAGTTAAAAGAACACTCTGGGAGATATTAACAAATATTGCATTGATGTAAACCAGACTTGCAATTCCTCTTAATGCAGAACATCACTCTAGCAGAGGAAAATTTCCCGGATCTTTAGCAGTGTCTGATAACTCACTTGAAAACACAAACCAGGTTCTCGTTTCTTAGCAGTTTTCTAGTCTTTCGCCCTAGAACATTTCCAAAGATGGGACAACTCATATATACTGCTGTGTGATAAACCTCATTCAGTACAGACAGTACTGAGACCAGTACTCCCTTTAAGTGTACTCCTTTATTGAAAAGTCTAGCACTGCATTTAAGAGCAATTCACCCAGTTACGTTTACTTTTATAGTTGACAATTCAAGCAGAGGGAAAAAAATAATCACTATTTAGACTTGAATTATGTGGAAAGCAAAACATACAGCAAATTAAAATGCGCATGTTAACGAAGGAGAACAGGGCTGGTGAGAGTTCAAGGTCTTCCAATTTCTACACAGCATTTCAAGTTGCATTTTTAAAAAATGTGTATTTAATGCTTAACTCCGGATAGCAAAAATATAAGGTTTGTGCGATTATCCCTTTATCTCCCTACTACAGACCTAACAAGGGGCAGCAAGAGTCAAACACCCAATCTACATCCAAAGAGGGAAGAAACCCAGAATTACTATATCTTTTTTCTAACTTTCAGGCACTAATCAGGGGGTCACAATTAATAAGAGGTTTTTATCTAGCAACAAAAAAAATTAGCAGCAAGCCACAGAGTTGATAAAGACAAAAACTTTGGGAGTGGCTAAGCATATTTACCCTTATTGAATGGTTTTGCCAGAGTGTAGAGAGACTATAAACAGCTACAGAAATGACTGAGGCTTTCATACATATATTACATATTATAAAGTTATGATAAGAAATAGGTCTTAATTATTCATTTAATGAAAACACGCAAGACTCCCATATTACAACACGCCATCTCTTCTTGCTCTGCATCAACACTTGGTATGAAATTTATTAGCCAGCTAAATTACTCTTCCCTCAACAAAAGATGAAACAATATCACTTACTGTTTGTACTTACTGGGACATAACCGAACTCAACTAAAACTTTTGAGTATCCCTCACATCACTAGAATCACAGAATCATTTAGGTTGGAAAAGACCTTTAAGATCATCCAGCCCAACTGTTAACCCAGCACTGCCAAGCCCACCACTAAACCATGTCCCTAAGCACCACATCTACATGTCTTTTAAATACCTCCAGGGATGGTGACTCAGCTACTTCCCCGGGCAGCCTGTTCCAATGCCTGACAACCCTTTCGGGGAAGGAATTTTTCCTAATATCTGTTTCCATGCTTTGCTACAGCAGAAACCAGCATCTTTTGGTCAGGTAACTTATTTCCACACTTGGCAGTAAAAAATACCAGCATCGACCAAGTATTTAATGAAGAGTAGTCAGGTATGGAACTTCAGACACCCAGAAGAGTTTAGGGGAAAATACAGAAAGACAGAAACGAATGTTAAAATGAGAAAAGTACAAAACCATTCAGTCTATTAATTCTGCTGTTTTTAAGGGGATTTAATGAAAGGCAGCGATGAAACATGATCCCTTGCCTTAACTTCTATATATAAAGTCCACATCTCCAGCGACAAATCTTTAATGGCAAGGACTGAAAAACCCTGGTCTCACAAAAGGAGGGAGGTACACATGCTAATACACCGAAATTTGAGCAGCAGGAGGGTATCACCCTCAGCAAGCAAAACCTGCCAAATCTCCAAGGCGAATTAAGGGCATGACTTGGGAGAAAAAAACAAGGCATGAACATTTTCTGCGCAGTTTTAAAGCACTGTTTTGCGGGCAGCAGGGCCAAACCCGGCGGTGCGGGGCGAGGCGATTTCAAAGGGCCAGGGCGGCCTCGAACGAGCCGGCGAAGGCAAACCGGCTGGACCC